CCACTTCTTCCATGGCCTGCATACTCACCAGACATGTCACCCATTGAGCATGTTTGGGATGCTCTGGATCGACTTGTACGACAGTGTGTTCCAGTTCCTGCCAATATCCAGCAACTTCACACAGCCATTGAAGAGGAGTGGGACAACATTCCACAGGCCACCATCAGTCTTATTAACTCCATGTGAAGGAGATGTGCCACACTGTATGAGGCAAATGGTGGTCACACTGGATACGGACTGGTTTTCTGATCCATTCCGCTACTTTTTTTTTAAAGGTATCTGACCAACAGATGCATATTTGTATTTCCAGTCATGTGAAATCCATAGATTAGGGCCTAATGCATTTATTTCAATTGACTGAGTTTCTTATATGAACTGTTACTCAGTAAAATCTTTGAAATTGTTGCGTGTTGCATTTATATTTCTGTTCAGTGTATAAGGAAATCAGTCAATTGAAATAAATAAATTAGGCCGCTTGCCCACACAATGCAGTACACACTGTCTGCCAACTGCCCGGTACAGTTGAAACTGGGATTCATCCGTGAAGAGCACATTTATCCAGCGTGCCAGTGGCCATTGAAGGTGAGCATTTGCCCAATGAAGTCGGTTACGACGCCAAACTGCAGTCAGGTCAAGGCCCTGGTGAGGACGACGAGCAAGCAGATGAGCTTCCCAGAGACGGTTTCTGACAGTTTGTGCAGAAATTCTTTGGTTGTGCAAACCCACAGTTTCATCAGCTGTCCGGGTGGCTGGTCTCAGACCATCCCGCAGGTGAAGAAGCCGGATGTGGAGGTCCTGGGCTGAGGTGGTTACACAGGGTCTGAGGTTGTGAGGCCAGTTGGACGTACTGCCAAATTCTCTAAAGCGACATCGGAGGTGGCTTACGGTAGATACATTAACATTACATTCTCTGGCAACAGCTCTGGTGGACATTCCTGTAGTCAACATGCCAATTGCATGCTCCCTTAAAACTTGAGACATCTGTGGCATTGTGTTGTGTGACAAAACTGCACATTTTAGAGTGGCCTTTTATTGTGCCCAGCACAAGGTGTACCTGTGTAATGATCATGCTGTTTAACTAGCTTCTTGATATGCCACACCTGTCAGGTGGATGGATTATCTTGGCGAAGGAGAAATGCTCACAGGGATATAGGGATATAAATAAATTTGTGCACAATATTTCAGAGAAAAGCCTTTTGTGCTTATAGAAAATGTCAGGGATATTTTATTTCAGCTCATGAAACATGGGACCAACACTTTACATGTTGCATTTATATATTTGTTCAGTGTTATTCCATTGGTAGAAAGTATCATATGAAGTCCAATACACAAGATAGGCTGCTATCGTCATTGGGATCTAGCAGCAGCATGTACGTAATTGGAGAACTCCCCTTGTCTCACTAACACCCTTAGCTATTGAGCCTTTTGTGTGTATCAGCACTGGCAATCAAGAGTTGATTAGAACTACGAGACGTTAGCTCCAACTGACAAAAGAAAGAGAAATGAATCACTGCTTCTCTCGCAGAGGCAGAGCTATTTCTAGAGATGTGGTCACTGTGTTCAGGCCTAGCCAGCCAAGCCACTGGGAACAAAAACTGACTCCAGACTGGCCAAAGATGGCATCATATGGCGAAACAATCAATCTGAACTACCACATGAACTGTGCTGCTCAGTTTTCAGAGTAGGACTTAATGCAACTGATTTTCTGCTGAATGGTTTATAGCCCAGATAAACTGTACTAAAGAAGTGGGTCATAATCTTGTAGAAATCTAACTTTTTCATATTCATAACGTAGCCTACTCTTCATCCTCCGTTGCCCTTTTGAATGTGTTTTCCCATTCTGGCACATGGTTAGGGTCTAGCTTTAGGAAATGATCAGTCTGAGATTGGCCATAAGAGAGTTCTGTAAACCCGATTTCAACTGTGACATCCTACAGTGAGGGAAAAAAGTATTTGATCCCCTGCTGATTTTGTATGTTTGCCCACTGACAAAGAAATGATCAGTCTATAATTTTAATGGTAGGTTTATTTGAACAGTGAGAGACAGAATAACAACAAAAAAATCCAGAAAAACACATGTAAAAAATGTTATAAATTGATTTGCATTTTAATGAGGGAAATAAGTATTTGACCCATCTGCAAAACATGACATTTACATTTTAGTCATTTAGCAGACGCTCTTATCCAGAGCGACTTACAGTTAGTGAGTGCATACATTTTAAAAACAATTCTCATACTGGTCCCCCGTGGGAAACGAACCCACAACCCTGGCATTGCAAACACCATGCTCTACCAACTGAGCTACACAGGACTACTTGGTGGCAAAAGCCTTGTTGGCAATGATAGATGTCAGATGTTTCTTGTAGTTGGCCACCTGGTTTGCACACATCTCAGGAGGGATTTTGTCCCACTCCTCTTTGCAGATCTTCTCCAAGTCATTAAGGTTTCGAGGCTGACGATTGGCAACTCGAACCTTCAGCTCCCTCCACAGATTTTCTATGGGATTAAGGTCTGGAGACTGGCTAGGCCACTACAGGACCTTAATGTGCTTCTTCTTGAGCCACTCCTTTGTTGCCTTGGCTGTGTGTTTTGGGTCATTGTCATGCTGGAATACCAATCCACGACCCATTTTCAATGCCCTGGCTGAGGGAAGGAGGTTCTCACCCAAGATTTGACGGTACATGGCCCCATCCATCATCCCTTTGATGCGGTGAAGTTGTCCTGTCCCCTTAGCAGAAAAACACCCCCAAAGCATAATGGTTCCACCTCCATGTTTGACGGTGGGGATGGTGTTCTTGGGGTCATAGGCAGCATTCCTCCTCCTCCTCCAAACACAGCGAGTTGAGTTGATGCCAAAGAGCTCGATTTTGGTCTCATCTGACCACAACACTTTCACCCAGTTCTCCTCTGAATCATTCAGATGTTCATTGGTAAACTTCAGATGGGCATGTGTATGTGCTTTCTTGAGCAGGGGGACCTTGCGGGCGCTGCAGGATTTCAGTCCTTCACTGCGTAGTGTGTTACCAATTGTTTTCTTGGTGACTATGGTCCCAGCTGCCTTGAGATCATTGACAAGATCCTCCCGTGTAGTTCTGGGCTGATTCCTCACCATTCTCATGATCATTGCAACTCCACGAGGTGAGATCTTGCATGGAGCCCCAGGCCGAGGGAGATTGACAGTTCTTTTGTGTTTCTTCCATTTGCGAATAATCGCACCAACTGTTGTCACCTTCTCACCAAGCTGCTTGGCGATGGTCTTGTAGCTCATTCCAGCCTTGTGTAGGTCTACAATCTTGTCCCTGACATCCTTGGAGAGCTCTTTGGTCTTGGCCATGGTGGAGAGTTTGGAATCTGATTGATTGCTTCTGTGGACAGGTGTCTTTTATACAGGTAACAAACTGAGATTAGGAGCACTCCCTTTAAGAGTGTGCTCCTAATCTCAGCCCGTTACCTGTATAAAAGACACCTGGGAGCCAGAAATATTTCTGATTGAGAGTGGGTCAATTACTTATTTCCCTCATTAAAATGCAAATCAATTTTTGACATGCGTTTTTCTGGATTTTGTTGTTGTTATTCTGTCTCTCACTGTTCAAATAAACCTACCATTAAAGTTATAGACTGATCATTTCTTTGTCAGTGGGCAAACGTACAAAATCAGCAGGGGATCAAATACTTTTATCCCTCACTGTATAACAAGTCATGAGACTGACTGCTCATTTCATATAATGCCAAGTACAACTCTTCCCTCTCTCATGGGCTGTGAAAATCACCACTGTCGATAGATTGCAAAGTGGCCCATGTGAAAAGGAAGTCAGGGGAGGGAGGCGTTCTTTTGTTTCACAGGGTTTTACCTGCTAGATCCATTTGCACAGTGAAGAGCAAGGGGAGGTCGACAAGTGCTCATTTAATCGTACTTTAATGCCATGTGTTCAATGAACATTTTGGAAGATGACACCAGCCGACTAGGTACTACACCCAGCGTCTAATTGCCATAGCCTGCCAAACTGTTCCTCTCGGTCAGTATAATAGCTCCGTGTCATCCGTCTGCACTGAGCTACAGTGGCGTAGGTGTGTAAATGCTGGAGGTGTGTGTGTCTCTGACTGAGTGAGTGAGAGAGGTGAGAAATGCTGAAGAGTCAGCTGGTGGTGAATTAAAAGCAACCAGGCTCTTAAAGTCAAACTGTGAAAAGAGAGTGGAGGAGAGAAATTGCACTTCTGTTTTGGTACATGAAGACCTGAGGGGTGTAATACAAAGCAGGATCAATGAGTTAGCCAGCTAACTTTCATAAACAACCAGAAATAACTTTAGATTTTCTGGTTCAATAAGAAAGCTAAACTTCAATGTTTTTGGTGATCCACACCACCAGAGTCTGAAATGAGCAGCACCTGAATGATCATCTAAATAAAACAAGATCCTTCTCTTTCATTAAAAGTAGTATATCTAATCTTGGCCTTAAGGCATGTCATAACTGCTGAGACAGATTTTAGACACATTATTTATAAATGCATTGTGTCTGATATGACGTTATGGAACAGCTGGAAGCCAATCAGTCTGAGCCCAGTCAGTATCTGCAGACACATACAGTACAACATGCACACTGAAGGCCTGCCTAATTGGCTACCTGTTTCCTTAACTGGAACTGTGGTTTAGAAAAACAGTAAACCCTTACGGGGCTATGTGCCACCTCACTACGCACTGACAAAGTCACTGTGTGAAGCATCTGCTAAAGAAAAGATTAGGGGATACATTATAATGATACAAGTTAGTAAAGTCACAGTCTCCCGAGTGGCGCAGTGGTCTGTAAGTCGCTCTGGATAAGAGCATCTGCTAAATGACTAAAATGTAAATGTTAAACTGGGACAGCAAACTTGAAAGTTATCTAAAAAATAATAAATCAGTAATATGATTGAGGATAAGCCGAAATTTCTCCTCTCAATCCAATTGCCATTATCGCTCTTGAAAAGGCTAGATGCATATTCCACAAAAATGAAAGAACACGTTTTTAGATGTACTTTTAATACATAATTTATGGACATATTACAATTAATTTATCCTTGATACACACAGTCGGACCAGAGAAGAGAACGTTGCTGATTGTATCAAATGGATAACCCCATATTTAGACTTCTCCGCCCATAGGGAGGAGTGAACAGGTGTGTGAGGGGGGTTGAGGGAGGGAATGAGGAATGAACCATTCATCTATAGCAATCAACTCCAGAGTAGTCCGGTCCACTCAATCACTTCAGCCAGATGTTCTTGTCTCCTACGTCTGCATTATAACCTGCAGCGTACTTCTTTCCCGGGAGCTTTTGGACAGAAAAGAAAATGACAGTCAATTTAATTAGATTGAGAGAAGTGATTGGCTATATCCCCTATGATGTATGCTAAACATCTGGGATGTATTTGCTGAAACAGTTGCCAAAAATATAGAGCGCAAATCTTAGTTAAGTTGCAAGTAAAATACAATGTAGTTACCTAGGTATAAACAAAAACAACAACTTAATAGATATTGAGCCTTTTTGGAAATAAATCAAGTTAGCAGCCTAATAGTTATTCTGAGAGTTCTGTAACCCTCTTAGTCTGGGCATACAGTAAGCCATAGCCTACACTTTACTGAAGAAATCCTTAAAACTAATCCAATGTGAGGGTTTTAGTCAAGGAGTCATCCTTGCCTCAAAAAAAAAACATTTGTGGGAATTGCTTGGGTAAAAAGAGACAAGTGAGATTCCACAGGACACTTAGGCAGGTTTAACGTTCTCTGATTTAAGGAGCAGGGCCTTCTTATTCCCTTAAGCTTTGAAGAACTAGCCACTCAAGACTCATCCATCCTTGGATGTGGGATGACAGCAAAGACTAATGGTATAGCAAAGTGTTTTTGTCACTAGGGGCGACATTGCAGTCCATCACCCCAGAGCCTTGGCAAACAGCATGTTATGAGTTACTGCTAATGTGAAGCCACATCAGTGACAGAGTGATAGACAGCCAGGCCGCTCTCCGTCACCCAGGCGACGCTACACCATTAGTCTTGTGAGTATGAAACAAAAAATAGTCTAGTGTTAACTGAGGCCTACATTAGCACTGCTTCTCTTTCTTTCAACTGTTATCAGTCAGCAAAAGAAGCAGAAAATATACTTAAATATAAAAGACATTTACAGCTTCAAAGACAATCAGCCAAGATTGGAGAAGTGGTGTTGGATTGCAAATAGCAACATTGATAGGCATTCAAGTTTTATTTTGTTTACCTAGTTTTACTTTGACATCTGCGGTACAATTTAGCAAGAGTTTTAGCTGGCGAAGCCAAAATGAAATCACCAGACAAAACCCTATCTGTTGTTCTTCTTGTCAAACAGTACAGTACATGCTCTACTGCAGAATACTAGCTTGCACTTCAGAAGAAGTGAACTTTGTCAAGTAAAAGTATGGATGAGAAAATGCAGACAACCTAAGCCCGCCATAGTTCACATTCCCCAAGCTTGTCCTCCCACTCGTTCCAGTATAATAGCGGGCACCGAGCAAAATGTCAGCTCAAAGAATCCTGTAGCACATTATATACCCCCACATCTCCAGTCAATAAACTTTAAAGGTCAGGACAGAATGTTTTCCTGCAAGACTGATGACACCAATGACTTGGAGAATATTCCACATATGGCATTTCCCTTTTCGTATATCATTTGATATTTCAGCTACCAAAATAGTTATTTAATATGCTGGAAGCAAAAGCACTAGACGGCCACAAAACCCAGGAGAGACGGAGGGAAAATACTATTGAAGGAGGGAGAAAGTCCTGTCCCTATGCAGTATGGTAGCCTATAGCTCATATACCACTTTATCATAATCTGGTCACATCAGGTGATCTAGCCACACCACATCATAAGAGAAGTGCTTTTCTCCCTTACCGATTTGAAGGCATAGTAGCCTGCGTCGTACTCGTGAGCCCCGATGGTGACCTCAGGGAGGAAGTTGGGTACAAGGGTCAGGTCTGCCACCCTCATCTTGTCTTCCACCCTGGGGAGAAAGGCAGGAAAACAGCAGGCTGATGAGAAGGCCTCCAGAGGTCCAATATCAACTATATATGCCTACCCATGTACGTGACGGAAAATTAAGGTCTACACGTGTAGGGAACAAATTAAGTGATTATACTTACAGCATTCTCAGGTAGTGGAGTGTGACATCATCCTGCTCTACCCAAGGTCCTTTCTCAAATTTCAAGTACTCAATGTCTTCTGCAATCTAAAGATGAGAAAAACAAGTCTTTTTTGACAAGAAGTTTTTGTGAGGGAATAAGACGGGTTTCCAATAGCAGTCAGTGCATTTCAGGTTCATGCACTGGGTAGGCCTATAACAAATAACATCAACACCATGTTTGTTTTCTCACCAGAAACTACAAGGTTAGCCAATTATGATATAATCATTGTTTTATACTTCTAGTCATTCACTGTATTTCTTACCCTCTCGATGTCTTGTGCCTGGGTTGCATCATAAGCGAGCAATTCTGCATTCTCACTGAAATACAGAAAAACAATCTCAACACCTTTCTTGTAAATGGTTGAAGGTCAAATTGGAGAAAAATTGCTTTGTTCAAAAATGTTCAAGTTGTTAATAGACAGGGTCATCTCAGAGGTTTCAAGCATAGTATTTACGCTTCACTAGAGAGCTTTCTAGTCCACTAACCTGATTTTGGGAAGGTAGGTCTTCTTGTAGGCATCCTCAATGCTCTTCAGATAGGGTAGGGGTATATCCTGAGGGTAAGACAGGATAGATTCATAAAGACAGGAACAACACACTTTAGAAAATAGACTATTTGAAAAGATAAGATAGCTACACCAGACCCAACACAATTCACTTGCTTAGTCAAAGTGCCTTAAATTGATTTAACTTAACAAGCGGAACACCCAAAGTGGTAAAGAAGCAGATCTGTTTGGAGCTGTTGAAACAGATTCTCACCTTCAATGATCTGATCTGTAGAGTGGAAAGGTAATTATACCTAACTTAAGAATAATCACTGCACATTTTTTCCACATGTTGTTGTGTTACAGCCTGAATTTAAAATGGATTAAAATGAGCTTTTTTGTAACTGGCCTATACACAATACCCCATCATGTCAAAGTGGAATAATGTTTTTAGAAATGTTTATGGCAAGCCTAAATAAGTTCAGGAGTAAAATATTGCTTAACAAGTCACATAAGTTGCATGGACTAACTGTGCGCAATAACAGTGTTTAACATGATTTTTTTTTATGACTACCTCATCTCTGTACCCCACACATACAATTATCTCTAAGGTCCATCAGTCAATCAGTGAATTTCAAACACAGATTCAACCACATAGACCATGGAGGTTTACCAATGCCTCGCAAAGAAGGGCACCTATTGGTAGATTGGTTAAAAAAAAAGAGCAGACATTGAATATCCCTTTGAGTATGGTGAACTTAGTCACTACTAAGATATAGGCGTCCTTCCTAACTCAGTTGCTGGAGAGGAAGAAAACAGATCAGGGATTTCACCTAAGGCCAATGGTGACTTTCAAACAGTAAGAAAATGTAACGGTTGTGATAAGAGAAAACTGAGGATGGATCACCAACATTGTAGTTACTCCACAACACTAACCTAGTTGACAGAGTGAAAAGAAGGAAGCCTGTATAGAATGAAAATATTCCAAAATATGCATCCTGTTTGCAACAAGGCACAAAAGTAATACTGCAAAATTTGTGGCAAAGCAATTACATTTTAGTCCTGAATACAAAGTGTTAAGTTTAGGGCAAATCCAATACAACACGTCACTGAGTACCACTCGTCATATTTTCAAGCATAGTGGTGGCTGCATCATGTTATGGGTATGCTTGTACTCGTTAAGGACTGGGGAATTTTTCAGGATAAAAAATAAACGGAATGGAGCTAAGCACAGGCAAAATCCTAGAGGAAAACCAAGTTCAGTCTGCTTTCCAGATACTGGGAGATGAATTCACCTTTCAGCAGGACAATAACCTAAAACACAAGGCCAAGAAGAGTTGCTTACCAAGAAGACAGTGAATGTTCCTGAGTGGCCAAGTTACAGTTTTGACTTAAATCTGATTGAAAATCTATGGCAAGTCCTGAAAATGGTTGTCTAGCAATGATCAACAACCAATTTGATAGAGATTGAAGAATTTTCAGAATAATAAAAATGGACAAATATTGTACAATCCAGGTGTGGAAAGCTCTTAGAGACTTACCCAGAAAGACTAACAGCTGTAATCGCTGCCAACAGTGATTCTAACATGCATTGACTCAGGGGGTTGAATACTTAGTGCATTCGGAAAGTATTCAGACCCCTTTACTTTTTCCACTTTGTTACGTTACAGCCTTATTCTAAAATTGATTCCCCCCCCCCCTCAGAAACTTGTCCCAAAGCCACTCCTGTGTTGTCTTGACTGTGTGCTTAGGGTCATTGTCCTGTTGGAAGGTGAACCTTCGCCCCAATCTGAGGTCCTGACGTGACGCTTGGCATTCAGGCAAAATCATTAAATCTTGGTTTCACCAGACCAGAGAATCTTGTTTCTCATGGTCTGAGAGTCTTTAGGTGCCTTTCGGCAAACTCCAAGCGGGCTGTTATGTGCCTTTTACTGAGGAGTGGCTTCTGTCTGGCCACTCTACCATAAAGGCCTGATTGGTGGAGTGCTGCAAAAATGGTTGTCCTTCTGGAAGGTTCTCCCATCTCCACAGAGGAACTCTGGAGCTCTGTCAGATTGACCATAGAGTTCTTGGTCACCTCCCTGACCAAGGCCTTCTCCCACGATTGCTCAGTTTGGCCGGGCGGCCAGCACTAGGAAGAGTCTTGATGGTGCCAAACATCTTCCATTTCTGAATGATGTAGGCGTACTGTGTTCTTGGGGACCTTCAAGGCTGCAGAAATCTGTGCCTCAACACAATCCTGTCTCGGAGCTCTACGGACAATTCCTTCGACTTCATGGCTTGGTTTTTGCTCTGACATGCACTGTCAACTATGGGACTTTATATAGACAGATGTGTGCCTTTCCAAATCATGTCCAATGAATTAAATTTACCACAGGTGGACTCCAAGTTGTAGAAGCATCTCAAGTATGATCAATGGAAACAGGATGCACCTGAACTCAATTTCGAGTCTCATCGCAAAGGGTCTGAATATTTCTGTTTTAAATGTTTAATAAATAAAATAAAACAGTTTTCGCCTTTTCATTATTGGATGTAGATTGATGAGATTTTTTATTCATTTAATCAATTCTAGAATAAGGCTATAACGTAACAAAATGTGGAAAAAGTCAAGGAGTCTGAATAATTTCTGAATGCACTATATCTAAATCTATCTAATCAAATTTTTCTATGGCTGACCCCAATTAGTCCACTGCTCGATTGTTTGGTCAATAGGCTGTTGGTCGACCAAGATTTTTTTAGCCGAGCAGTAGCAAATAAATATATTTTTGATGGCACACGAGACACCCGTCTTATTCGTGCCCATCTCAGTGAACTAATCCATTGTGGAGGCCACGAGGATGGCACAGTCCAAGAAGAAGGGCAGTGTGGCTAAGATGCACAATGCACATCTCCCGCCAATTTGTGCACATTCATTGTTTCATAACTTCATTGTGTCAATTGTTTGCGTTTGATTGTTATTGTCTATCAATTCCCCATGACATACAGTGGGGAGAACAAGTATTTGATACACTGTCGATTTTGCAGGTTTTCCTACTTACAAAGCATGTAGAGGTCTGTAAATTTTATCATACGTACACTTCAACTGTGAGACGGATCAAAAAAATCCAGAAAATCACATTGTATGATTTTTAAGTAATTAATTTGCATTTTATTGCATGACATAAGTATTTGATCACCTACCAACCAGTAAGAATTCCGGCTCACACAGACCTGTTGGTTTTTCTTTAAGAAGCCCTCCTGTTCTCCACTCATTACCTGTATTAACTGCACCTGTTTGAACTCGTTACCTGTATAAAAGACACCTGTCCACACACTCAATCAAACAGACTCCAACCTCTCCACAATGGCCAAGACCAGAGAGCTGTGTAAGGACATCAGGGATAAAATTGTAGACCTGCACAAGGCTGGGATGGGCTACAGGACAATAGGCAAGCAGCTTGGTGAGAAGGCAACAACTGTTGGCGCAATTATTAGAAAATGGAAGAAGTTCAAGATGATGGTCAATCACCCTCGGTCTGGGGCTCCATGCAAGATCTCACCTCGTGGGGCATCAATGATCATGAGGAAGGTGAGGGATCAGCCCAGAACTACACGGCAGGACCTGGTCAATGACCTGAAGAGAGCTGGGACCACAGTCTCAAAGAAAACCATTAGTAACACACTACGCCGTCATGGATTAAAATCCTGCAGCGCACGCAAGGTCCCCCTCATCAAGCCAGCGCATGTCCAGGCCCGTCTGAAGTTTGCCAATGACCATCTGGATGATCCAGAGGAGGAATGGGAGAAGGTCATGTGGTCTGATGAGACAAAAATAGAGCTTTTTGGTCTAAACTCCACTCGCCGTGTTTGGAGGAAGAAGAAGGATGAGTACAACCCCAAGAACACCAATCCCAACCGTGAAGCATGGAGGTGGAAACATCATTCTTTGGGGATGCTTTTCTGCAAAGGGGACAGGACGACTGCACCGTATTGAGGGGAGGATGGATGGGGCCATGTATCGCGAGATCTTGGCCAACAACCTCCTTCCCTCAGTAAGAGCATCGAAGATGGGTCGTGGCTGGGTCTTCCAGCATGACAACGACCCGAAACACACAGCCAGGGCAACTAAGGAGTGGCTCCGTAAGAAGCATCTCAAGGTCCAGGAGTGGCCTAGCCAGTCTCCAGACCTGAACCCAATAGAAAATCTTTGGAGGGAGCTGAAAGTCCATATTGCCCAGCGACAGCCCCGAAACCTGAAGGATCTGGAGAAGGTCTGTATGGAGGAGTGGGCCAAAATCCCTGCTGCAGTATGTGCAAACCTGGTCAAGACCTACAGGAAACGTATGATCTCTGTAATTGCAAACAAAGGTTTCTGTACCAAATATTAAGTTCTGCTTTTCTGATGTATCAAATACTTATGTCATGCAATAAAATGCAAATGAATTACTTAAAAATCATACAATGTGATTTTCTGGATTTTTGTTTTAGATTCCGTCTCTGATAAAAATTAGACCTCTACATGCTTTGTATGTAGGAAAACCTGCAAAATCGGCAGTGTATCAAATACTTGTTCTCCCCACTGTATATCACCAGTAGTACATTTACCGTTAATTCCTATAATTTCCATTCTACAATGTTTGTTTGGTTACGGTAATTTCTGTTAACCTCTACGGGATCAGTGTCCTGTATACGGGACGGTTGAGCTATCGTGCGCTAATGTGATTAGCATGACTGTTGTAAGTAACAGCAAACTTTCCAGGACATAGACATGTCTTATATGGGCAGAAAGCTTAAATTATTGTTAATCTAACTGCACTGTCCAATTTACAGTAGCTATTACTGTGAAAAAATACCATGCTATTGTTTGAGGAGAGCGCACAACAACAAAAAAACGTATCATCACGGCAACTGGTTTGATACATTCACCTCTGAAGGTAAATAATGTACTTACATTCAGTAATCTTGTTCTGATTTGTCATCCTAAGGGTCCCAGAGATAAAATGTAGCATAGTTTTGTTTGATAAAATCAATTTTTATATTCAAATGTAGGAACTGGGTTCTACAGTTAGATCCCCTGCTGTCTCTGGCTCCACACCCACCCCGCCCGGCCATCTAGATCTGTGAAAGTTAGTGTATAAGCTAATGATCCAGCATGACATTCCTGGGAGTGTGTAAACTTACATTTTGTATTACCATATATTTTTTGTATGTTCTCTATAGTTATGTACTTGAAAATGTATCAATTGACCAATTCGGCACATTTGGGCAGAGTTGATACAAGATAGTCCAGTATTACAATGCTTCACTGGATCAATCTGAAACTTTGCACACACTGCTTCTATCTAGTGGCCAAAGTTTAAATTACGTCTAAACTGCAATATTCCATTGTGTTCTTGTGTTCTATTCTATTCTCTTGCATTTCAAAGATGGAACAACAACAAAAAATAGAAAACGCATGCTTTTTTGTTTGTATTATCTTTTACCAGATCTAATGTGTTATTCTCCTACATTAATTTCCACAAACTTCAAAGTGTTTCCTTTCAAATGGTATCAAGAATATGCATATCCTTGCTTCAGGTGGTTAGATTTGGGTATGTCATTTTAGGTGAAAATTGAAAAAAGGGTCCGATCCTTAAGAGGTTAATGCATTCAATACATTATTATTCCAGTCTTTTACCGTTCTCATTGTCAGGTGGACACGTTGTTTACAGAGCGCACAACCTATGCTACACTTGTGTGAAACAAGTTTTGGTTTATTTTATTCTATTTACGAGTTTTGTCAATTTAGTCATTGTCTCGTTTGGAGCGCTCCTGTCAATGTTGAGTATTGGACGCGCACCTGAGTACGCATAGAAGTAGGCCTATAGGCTACCTGGCCTACGCGCAAATGTAGGCATATAAAATGTGCCCATTTGGGGTTCTGATAGTATTTCTGATTGGCTTAACGCACCACCACTACTTAGCTGTGGAGCTTCTCAAAGTAATGTTTTCTTCACCTCAAAACAGCAAGCAAACAAAGTCTGTTTTTACATCCATTGAGAATGACAATAGTTCTTCAATGTATTTGAACAATCTTTCCATCTCTCTCCCTTTTGATAACCACTCAGCGTGAAAGGGAAAAATGTCATCCTCTGATCCACTGGAAACATAATAAATAGGCCTACCTGATTACTTCTTATTCCTTGCTCAAAATAGCCTACAGCTGTGTCTGTCCCGAGCTCATTTGCACAGGAAACTGAGGGCCCAGAATATTTTATACAATGTTGCAAGTTTGCTAGCACGAGCTTCCAGGCAGAGTCTAGTTAATAGTTTATACAATGTTGAAAGTTCTATGTGATTTATAGGATATTTCTTTTTATCAGGATATTTTCTACCTGCAGGCTGCAATGTTTTTATTTGTTGGCTTTATATAGGTAATTTTTACATAGTTGGCAACGGTAATAGAAGTTACTTTAGGGTTTGTATCATTTTCATTTAGATATAAAGTTGATTTTAAAACGCACAGGGTGTGTCTATATATGGAAAAATAGACGCTTTAAAATTTCAACCAATCGATTGGTCAAAAGAACAGACGACTTTCGGTCCACAAAGATTTTTTCTAGTCGAGGACAGCCTTATTTTTTTTCTTTACAAAATGTTAGAATTTTTCTTCCAATTTGACATTGCATAGTATTTTCTGAAGATCGTTGACAATAAAATGACAATTAAATCCATTTTAATCCCACTTTGTAACAACAAAATGTGGAAAAAGTCAAGGGCTGTGAATACTTTAAGGCACGAGCATAAACAAGACCATAAGATGACAATGGTTATTCAACATGCACCCTAAACATTGAATAGCTAAAAAAGCTCCATCATGTTGATCACTGAAAGGATACATCTGGCTTTAACTAATAAGAAAGTGTGATTTAACATCTTTAAAACTGTGATGTTTAAACATATATTATATTTAAATCCAATCAGAGACGTGAGAATTACACTCAGGAAAAAAAGTTTGGAACACTGATCTGAAGTATAAATCAAACTATATAAGTTGAAAATAGCCTAGGTTTTAAGCACCTAGACTTGTCCTAAACACTACTTTTCTGGCAGAATCTGAGACTCCATATTTATCTCGATTCGCACCGAATTCCACCAGCCCTCCATGATTATCTTTAAAGACAGGATTATTGCTGGGGCCCACAATTGCATAATGCTAATAACTACCAGGCTTTGTGAGGCCCGCCTGCCTGCCAAATGTGAGAGGTCCTAAATGGGTGTGCGGGAAAACAACTACTAATTCCTATAATTGTTACACATTACCAGAGACAAAAATCATTTTAAACTTCTCGAAAAGTCTCTACTGTGGTCAAGATTCTCAGTCTGTTGCTAACAGCAAGTAATGTTCTTAATTGGAAACTTTAAGAACATTACTCGCTGTTAGCAACAGACTGAGAATATTATGTTCTGTTTCTAACCTAGCTCATGACCACAGTAGACTTTTTGAGAAGTTTAAAATGCTTTTTGTTTAAAGCCCCAAATACATCAATATTAGAAAACCTTCACACAATTTAGAATCATTATTGAACAGGGCTCAAAATTGGTTGAATAAAACCTGAGTCACACATCAAACATTACGGCAACTTCCATAGGTTCTCTACCACCTGATAATAGATTGTCATTCAGTCAAACAGACAAACGATATGCCTAGAAAAGTATAGCATTGATTATATTTTCCTTGTTTGTGTCTCCCTACCTTGCCTGACGCCTTTAGCTTCTTCTGCACTTCTTCTGCTGGCGTGTCCACATAGATGACCAAGTGAGGGGGCAGGAACTCACAGATGCTGATACCTTTGATTTCATTGTAGTGGTCTACGCCTGCATTACAGAACATATGAGATTCATCAACCTCAGCCATGTAAAATCAAATCAAATTGTATTGGCCACATGCGCCAAATACAACAGGTGCAGACATTACAGTGAAATGCTTACTTACAGCCCTTAACCAACAGTGCATTTATTTTTAATAAAAAAGTAAAATAAAACAACAAAGAAGTGTTGAGAAAAAAAGAGCAGAAGTAAAATAAAATAACAGTAGGGAGGCTATATATACAGGGGGGTACCGGTGCAGAGTCAATGTGCGGGGGCACCGACTAGTTGAGGTAGTTGAAGTAATATGTACATGTGGGTAGAGTTAAAGTGACTATGCATAAATAATTAACAGAGTAACAGCAGCGTAAAAAAAGGGGTGGGAGTTGGGGGGCAGTGCAAATAGTCCGGGTAGCCATGATTAGCTGTTCAGGAGTCTTATGGCTTGGGGGTAGAAGCTTTTTTGAAGCCTTTTGGACCTAGACTTGGCACTCCGGTACCGCTTGCCGTGTGGTAGCAGAGAGAACAGTCTATGACTAGGGTGGCTGGAGTCTTTGACAATTTTGAGGGCCTTCCTCTGACACCGCCTGGTATAGAGGTCCTGGATGGCAGGAAGCTTGGCCCCAGTGATGTACAGTTGCCATGCCCCTTGTGTATTAATGGTGGCATACATAAAAAAAGCTTCTTCACCCACAGTTTATTTATTTATAACACTAATGACCTTTCAATATCATGGCATTGTGAGGTTGGTGTTAAACCAGGTCTGATTCATAACAATGCAATAGCACTATTCAGATCTGGACCACCCTTATTATTGGGATTTCAGTACTTACACTGCCTTCTGATGTAGCCCTGTTTGAACATGGCCTCCACAAACACCATGTCACTGTAGGGGGAGCGCTCCAAGATCACACCTTGGCCTAGAATGGAGAAAGGTTATGAGAAGGACATTACTAAAAACACAAAATGGCCAGAATCATATTTTTGTTTAAGATCTACATGAAAAAAGCCATTTAGAATATACCTAGGCATTAATTTAACTACAGGAAGGTAAGCTCAATAATTTGTTTTTCCCGAATCCCTAACACAATCCTGATATCATTTGTGAGTGATATCTGAGCACATTCCCATAGCCAGCCAGCCGTACCTGTGGTGAGCAGGTGCTCCATGGCGTCTGACCACTGAAGGAGCCTCATGAGGTACATCCATGCCTGCAGCCGGTAGGAGTTCCCATCAGCAGCCTTGGGGTCTGCATAGAACTTCTCCAGGCTGCAGTTACCGTTGAAGGCGGTTGGTAGAGGCCCCTTCTCCGCTGTCATCTTGTCCAAGTAGTGTGTGTTAGGCTCGGGCATGTACAGCATCCCTACAGACATCAGGCAAAGTGTTAATGTAGTCAATATACATTAATCCTGTTTTGTACCAGAAGGTAGGAAATGAATGTTTTTTTATTTTTAGTCAATGAAAATAATTGGCATTATAAACTTCAAACTCCCCAAGTTATTAATCTGTATAAATAAGTTGGCCACATGCACCAAATACAACAGGTGCAATAAGTAGTCTAGACTTCAATAACTGCATTGACAACATGATCATTACCCAGCTTGTCAGCCAGATTCTGGGCCAGCGCCCCCTTTCCTGAAGCCAGGTTGCCATCAATGGAGATGATCTTGCTGTTCTCCTTGAACCTTGGGGTTGTCCTCTCGCCCAGTGCGTATGCCCACCAGCCGTACCGTAGGTTCCTTACTGAGCTTGTGTGAATACCTGCCTAAAGATATAAGATATGTTGATCAATTAATTCTCAAATCAAATATTGAATTGTACTCAGTGTCAATAGAATGAGCATGTGAGTGTCATCCTTCTGACCATCCTGCCCACCATGAATTAAGTATGCTTAGGTAGCTAGTTAAATCATTGTAATTGAATTGTAACTGAAAGACTAGCTAGGATGTCAGGAGGATGACAAGAATGGGATAACGGTAACTAGCCAATTAGTTCATATAAGCTAGCTAGCCAATTAGTTCATATATTGCCGCTAATTACAATACATTGCTACAGAATAGTTGTTGACAACAGCAAAACAGTCAGCTGTCCACGCAAAACACCAATCTGCTAGCTAGCCTTCTTAGCATTAGCATTCTTGTTATGGTGTCCTTGTACCGAGGCTTGTGAACTTGATGCCCTTCGTTGCGCGAGAGAGCATTTTTGCAATTCTTCCTATAATCTTACCGTCTGAATAGGTGTCCCTGCTTTGAAAACGGCTGTCCCCGAGGGGATGAGCAAACGGATCACCCGTAACGCCATGATTATTTACCACCAGAACCGCTAATCTGACCCAAAAATCACCCTCTTTACTAGTTCTTTCGAGGCGCGACAATAACGCGTTTAAAGGGGCTTTCTTGCCCGTAGTCGAGTAATATTGACGTCATCAAGAGTGTCCAATTGTATTGCCTGAAAGAAAAATACAATACATTCAAATGAGCGCCATGGTTAAGGTAAGGGGTAAAGTTATGGTTAAGTTTAGGGTAGGGACGTCCCAAGGATCGTGGATAGCACTTACCAGATTATAAAAGAGATGAATATTATCTACTGCCTCCGCCACAGGAGGTTGGTGGCACCTTAATTGGGGAGGACTGGCTCGTGGTAATGGCTGGAGCGGAGTTGGTGGAATGGCATCAAATACATCAAACACATGGTTTGATTCCATTGCATTGGCGCCGTTCCAGCCATTATTATGAGCCTTTCTCACCTCAGCAGCCTCCACTGGTCTCCGCCCTTACTTCACCCATGCACACTAAGGCTTTTCAGCACTCAGCTTTGATAATACAGCTATGTTGGTCTACTAGTAGGCCTACAACTGTACTTCAAACAACATTTACATTTTAGCAGACGGTCTTATACAGAGTGCCTTCAACTAAACCACATATCACAGTCATCTCAAGTAATACTTTCTTCAATAAAGCCGTTATCAGGGAAATCAGTGCTAGTAAGAAAAGACAAGTGCGAGAGACTATAGCAGTGTTAATTATGTTGTTTGTTTGTTTCTATTGGGGGGGGGGGGGGGGTGCTAGGGGTTCGTTCAACCAAAGTGCTTCACCTGCTCCTTGAATTGATCTCTTCAAATCATTCTTTTACTTGTGTGTATTGTCGTGTATTGTTAGATATTACTGTGCTGTTGGAGCTAGGAACACAAGCATTTCATTACACCCGCAATAACATCTGCTAAATATGTGTACACAACCAATAAAATGTGATTTGATTTGATTTGAACCAGAGAGGAAGAAGCGAGAGGGTGTCCACCAAAATAAGACCACGAAGTAAGGAATTTTTGTATGGAAGTCAACAAGAGAGTGTCGAATTTGGTCAACAGAAAATCTAATTGCTAATTTACTACATGAGGCTTATTTGATCAAATATATGTTTCGTAATCGTTAGGTCGTTATGAATGTACTGATATAAGTGGACCCACGTGACATTTCGGCAACTTAAAAAAATATATATACTTTATATCGGAGTTGTGCCTGTTGTTCAAGCGTATATCTGCCCTCTCATTGGCTAGAATGATCCCACCTGATCTCGCCTCCTCCCACCTGCCTTCCGTCTTTGAGGACATGTATTTCCATTGTTAGAGCAGTCACTCGACTATCTTGTCAATATAATAGAAAATATTTTATTCAACACAGGGCAGATGTAGGCCTGCTCTACGTCCAGTAGATGGTGCTAACTGACCCCGTACTATGCTGCCATGATAACTTCAATATACCTAGGGTACTGGATACATTAGGCTGCAGTATATCAACATGGGTTAACAAAAAATATGTTAAGTGTATCTAAAGTAATAGATTACGTTTATTTGTCTGTTTGCTACTGGTATTTCAATAAAATGCTAAATATGTATTTTTGAAATTGTCAACGCATGTTCAATGTTACCATATCCTGGAAAGAACATATCTGCTTGGGAGGATGTGTTGCTCAAATGTATGAGATTGAAAAACATATATTTTATGTAGATGTGTAGTTTTAGATGTGAAGATATTAACAAACGTTATGAATACATATATTTTCCAGTATTACAAACAGTATTTTGGAAGAGATAGTATTAAGTACTATTGTTCACGTGACAGACGATAGCTTACAGAATAACTGCTTTCTTTCTGGAAGGAGCAGTCTACATGTTCAGACCCTACAGTTGCTTATCTTGAGATGATCGACAAGTTATTTTTATCTATTCCTTTCTGACATGCCTCCAACAGGATTTTTTTATTGTAAATCTTTAGTGCATTTCATGCTTGTTCATGGCAAACGTCCATTGGCCAATACCATGCCAACTAAGCTAAGCAGAACATTTTGAGTTCTATGATCCGAGAGCATTCCCTTAGAGTAAAATAATATGTATATTCGGTTTTATGGGTCTTAGATTTAAATGTTGGTGTTTCAGCAGCAAGTTTAACCACTGTGGGCCCGAGTAAGAGATGAATGGTCCTCTGTAGCTCAATTGGTAGAGCATGGCGCTTGTAACGCCAGGGTAGTGGGTTCGATCCCCGGGACCACCCATCTACACGCTATCATAAATGTAGTGCAATGGCACTGATTTAAGCCCTAAGTAGGCCATTGCTGCCTGTATTTGGAGCCTTGAATACAAAAGCTGTATTATTAATGATACAGACATCTGTTGACCCCCATCAAGGCTGGCTCTAGCCTTTTGGGGGCCCTAAGCGAGATTTGGTTGGGGGGCCCCCTCACCAAGCTGTAAAAAATTTTAGTGGCTCCTCTGTTGACGGCGGAGAGAAAAAGTTTAGTATTAAAGATTATTTCCTGCAATTCTACTAATTTTGCCATGGGGCAGAGAGAAAATGTTGCAGTTTTAAAGCTAATTTCCTGCAATTCTACCCATTTTGCCATGGGGTGGAGGGACATTTTTGCAGTTTTGAAGCTAATTTCCTGCAATTCTACTTATGCCATGTTAATGATATCTGAATGGGAGTGACTAACAAAACCAATGGGGGCCCCCTGGAGGTCAGGGCCCCTGGGCATGTGCCCTGTGTGCCCGGTCGGTATTTGGCCATGATTACTACAAGTTTAGATAATTGGCTAAACTAGCTTACCAATCTAAAAAGAAGAGAAAAAACTACTGATGCACAACCAAATTTCACCTTGTGTAATCTTCTATTTGAACTCTCAACAGTAAGTTGAGATCCCGACTGAGTACCAATTATTTAATTTTTTTTTATGCCTAGAGCTGTCCCTGACCCTGTCGCCACACCTCTAGCACCCTGGAGGAACACCCATAGCTCTCTGAGCTTTACATAACACTTTCTGACTGTCAGCTCCTGAGCGTGACTCGGCGGCTGTTATCTCTATCGTCCCGGAGACCATGAATGTAAACAGGCCTACTGTCAGCTCCAGTCGTCCATATTTCATTCCTCTGACTTCAAGCCAACATTTCTCACCTATTTTCTGGAAGAAAAATCCTCAAAGTGAAAAAAAGGTGAACATTTGTGTTTACCTGCCAAAACTTGGTTTGAAAAAGTTGGGAAAGACTTCAAGGACACTAAAGAAATCCGGACACACCTCATCAATTATTGCAGAGATTGAAGACTAATATTTGTTTAGGCCACGCTTTATTAAAGATCGTTTACATAAAGCCGTGAATGAAGATGGGCAGAGAGTAAATCTTAACACTGTATGACAGTAGAGGCCAACAACTATGCTGTGCAAAAAGGGTAAACTTCAAAACTTCTAGTGTGTAATTTGTGCTGCCCTTGAAAGATAAGCCACACATGCACATACATGCAAAAGCACATACAAAGCATAGAAACACCCACCAACTCACTATTACCCCCAACCCCACATAGACACATGCAAGTGCACACAAGTTCACACAACCACACCCACCCATCCACACACACATGATTGTGGAGACACACAGACACGCACACACACACTTATCTCACACATACTTATCTACAGGAACCAAGGTAATTAGTAAATAATGTACAATGCAGTAAAACAACAATATGCCACATTCAGATCTCACGGCTTAAGCCCTGTGAGGCCAGTTGTGGGATTTGGCAATGCGTCTTTGCCAAATTTCCCCTGGTTATGGCAGGTTTTATTTAACTTTTCTGCAGCTCAGAGTGGCTTTTACAGTGCCAATAGGGAGGCAATTTGCCTGCTTTGTTTATCATTAAACAACTGGACGTCCATGGCAACAAATATAGGTTTAAGCATTCAACTGAAAATAGGTACTTTATGGGAGGGATTTATATCGATTTGCCATATATTGCATCGCTATTCTTATCATCACTCTTTACTGCCCTTATCTGATCTGTGTAACCCAGCTGCATACTTCCATTTCATATTATTAATATTGCTGACATATAATAAGAAAGTCTACAGTACATTTGATGGAGATACCCTTGCTTCTGTGTAATGAAACAGAACATAATTTTTCAGTATTGGAACATTTTTGTTCTTAATAACAGATTCCAGTCAAGAGGAGAAGGGTGCTAGTAGTTGACACCACAATCTGTTTCTTGTCCATAGAGAGCAGAGGAAGCCTTGAACACAAAAGGAGGAGAAAAACACACATGGGGCAACAATTATGGTCCTTGCTTCCCTGCATGACAGACATTGTGGTTTCTCCCCAACTCAGAACACACAGAATCAATTGCCATAGTTAGCTAATAACATCACCCTTTACAGCTTGACCGCTGCAGTCCAAATCGGCAGAAACCATGACACTCCCTGGACACAGTATATGACCTGAGGTAATAGTAGCAGTTTTATAGTCTATAGCGGGACTGAGTCAAAAGTCGAGGTGTTATTAGAATGCATTTGCGGCATTCACACGCTACAGCCTTCCCACAGGAATAGCTAGCATCATGTTTTCATATGAGTCTGCAGTGCACTGCACAGAGGCTGAAGTAAAGATTAGGTGAAAGGACTGCATTTCAAGTTACGATAGCCTAGCTATGTTGCTTATTTTTTGCTTCTTATTTTCTCTGTCTGAAACACGGTACAGTACATGTATGCATCCTTTACTGGTTTAAACAACCGACCATGCTACCGAGCCTTAGTAAACTTTTGAAAAACATTGGGTTTGACCCGATACAATGCTATTTCACAGTAAACAAATTAACAACTGACTTTCAGCACACTTATAGGGAAGGACACTCAACATGTACGACACTGACACAAATTACTGATGCTTGGCTGAAAGAAATTGATAATAAGAAGTCGGGAGCTGTTTTGTTAGACTTCAATGCAGCTTTTCACATTATTGATCATAGTCTGCTGCTGAAAAAAACATATATGTTAGGGTTTTACATCCTCTATCATATCGTGGATCGAGAGTTACCTATCTAACAGAACAAATAAGTTGTACTTTAATGGATGCCC